GGCAGATACAAAATTGCTGTGTGTTCCAGATCAACAAGACAAATTGTAAATGTTTTGAAATAGGCACTCTGGTTATTGTAGGGGGGTGTGCTGGGGTCGGGGTGGGGGGAAATTGTTCTGTGCCATGTAATGGAAAGAGCCCCCAGAAGCCCAGAAAGGCAGCAATGCTGAAGCAGTTCTTCAGTTCTCAGCAGTGTGTGACCTGCTGCTGCATTCATTCTGCACCCTTCAAGAGCTGGGACTTCCCTCCTAGTGAGTGGAGCTTGGCTTACCAGGTGGGGTTGTATGTACCTGTACAAATCAAAGAGCTCCCTTTTAGATTTTGTGTGCTTTCGGGCAGGGTAGTTAAGTGGAGGCCAGTACTGTCACATGATACCCTGAATCCCCAACAGCTTTTGTACAACTGAAAACTCATGGAATCAGATTTTATGCACATTGGTTCTTAGCGCTTCGAACATGTATTATTTCCTTTTCTGCATCTTTGATCGTTACAGGTCCTTTCATATAGCAGTCCAGCATCCTTTTAAACTTCCTGATACATTTCTGAGCCTGTGCATCATTTTTATGAAGTCAATTTCTATTTTAGTGTTGGCTATACTGCAGTTATTCTGAAAATAGTCAAATGGAATCTGCATTTCAGTTTATCAGAGGGTGAGGCATGTTCACAAACTGATTCAAGTATTTAAACTTTCTGTCTGTAAACTTCCAGAAAGCAGTTCATGATTTAGTAATGTAAAATTAAAAGTTAATTTGAAGTAATTTACAGAGATTTTCACAAAATCAGGAGCTACTTAGTGAAAAATCTCCCAATGACTGTATATATTTTTTTAAAAAACTGACAAAAGTTTTTGCTTAGCCAAGGTTGAGCCAAAATCTGAAACTGCAGCAGTACAGTCACAGTCATAGTGTATTATGCCAGTCAGCTTGTTGCAGAGGTGACAAGCTTGCTTGCTTACACCTGGAAGTTGAAAACCTGTGATTTTCCTCTGCTAGGTAGAGCTTCCCCCAGGCATTTGTGTAGCAACAGGTAACGGGGAACAGCATTAGTGTTTCACGATTACTCAGGTGAGGGCAAATGCTGTTGTGCTTGCAAGTATCTTAAGATTGTTTTAACAAAAGTAATTTTTAACAAAAACTTTCTAGTTTGCATTCTACTACTAGCCTATGTATACAGCAGAATTCTACCTTTCCTTAACATTAGAGGATCCCACATTGCTGCAGACTGGTTTTGTGCCCTGGACAGGTCTTTTTGCACTACATAAAGAACTAAATATTCACTTAAAATTATTTTCACACTTTGATTCATAACACTCTTACTAGACTAATTGGCTTAGGTTCAATTATTTGTACCCTAATTTGTTCAGAAGTAACTTTGTCAAAGATAAACACGTTCTTGAAGGGACTACTTGGTCAAGTGTAGCTTTGTCTAAGNGTTATTTTATAGCCACCTTTTTTCTTTACTGGCTGCTGTTGAAAATAGCAGCTGTAAATAAAGATGGAGATCTAAAGATGCAAAGTTAATGAAGCACTGGTCCCTAAGCTGCAGTTGTACAGAAGTTTATTTGAAAACAAAGATGGTACTTCCAGGTAGTAAGGAGGGTTTCCCCAAAAGGAGGCCAGATTGATGCAGATGTGATAAGTATGTTATTACATAACATGGAAATTGAACACAGCATCTTAACTTTTATATCTGTTTAATATTTAAAGCTCTTAGTCTTTCAAGCATTGATTATGTGATGTACTGATGTGCTGTCTTTGGTTCCTGTGTTTAAGACATTAACATGTTTTCATATGCTGTCTGCACTGGGGTGGAATGTTCTCTTAAAAATCAGTCTGTGGTCTCTGACAAGTGCCTGTATCTTAAATTGTGTGGAGCATGTAGGATCTTGAGTATCACTGAAATTCAGATATCTGATGGATGATTCTTTTTCTGCTGTGGGTGCTACAGGTTGCCATCTCTATCTATTAGCTTTTTCCTGAACTAAAGTAATCCAAGTATCTCCAAGTAGAAGAAAAATGGCCTTCATGTAGAAGATAATATCGCAAGACTGGAAACAGAATAAAATGGTATAATAACTGGCAAAGACTTCAAGAGCAATGGTGCTAGTGTGCTGGAATCTCAGAACTTGTGGTTAAACAAGTTAAAATAGCATAGAAATTAAAAATTTCAGTATAGTCCATAATGGATTGAAATTTGTTTAAAATATTTTAATTTTGTATCAGAATAAAGTGTATATTGTCAAATGACTTACAATCTAAAATGCGTTGCCATCACCTTTTTTTAGTGCTGTGATGAACACAAAGCGGTCTTGAATTATTGCAACACGTTTTCTTACAGGATCATCTTTCCAACTTGGGGACTGCAAGTCAGAAAACCTTGGTTCAGCCCATCTTTTCAGCTTTACTTTTAACAGTTTTAAAACTGGATGTTTTGATCAAGAAATAAATGGTTTCCATGTGGAAAATTGTCAGCATATAAGGTCAGCATTGTGATGCTTTAGACTTGTCAGTGTCTCTAGCCACTCTCAGGTTTGGGAATATACTCTGTACCTCAGTAATAATAATAAAGGTTATAGTTTGCACTATGAAGTTTTTACATACATGAGTGGTGTGGAATTTTTTTCATTAATGTTGGATGTTTCAAGGCGAGTACAGCATTCACTGTGTTCATGATGTGAATACTGGTTTAGATGGAATGCAAGTTGTCACAGTCTGAGTTCCTTTAGCCTGATTCTTTGCCTGCTGAAATTCAAACAAGGTGTCTGCATTAACTGCAGGTTTTTTGTTGTTGCACTTTTTGTCTTGGTAATGCTATCCTTGTATTATATTTTAGACATGGGTACAAATGCAACAGCCCCTCTGAAGGTTGTAAGGTTGCTGTTTGGCTTTGGTTCTCACATTAGTGAACAAATTAAGGAACATTGAAGTGCAGGGCAAGAGTCTGTTTATAACCACTTTGTAATTAAAGTATTTATATTGCAGTTAGAGAGAACATTTTCTCTGTAAGTCAGACATTTGATAGCCTAATTAGTGGCAGGGGGAACCCAGGAGCTCTTTAGGTTCTCTCTGCTTTGCCATCAGACCTGCCTGTGTATTAGAGCTACTGTGTATCAGTGTTGAAAGACTGTCCGGGCCAAGGCTCAGTGTGCTTTCTCCTTAATGCTTATGCTCTAAAACAGCCATCCTCAAATATGGATTAGTCCTCATGCTTTAAATGGCAGCAGTGTCTGGTATTCCTCTAGTGCTCGCCCAGCTTTGGCAACTGTTAGAGGTGCTTTTCTTCCTGAGCAGTGCTGGTGGCAAAGTCAAGAGGCACATTTAAATAACAGCAGAAGGAAAAGTATCACTCACTGCTGCAGTAGCTTTGATTTTAGCTGGTACCTGGCTGCCCTATCTAGAGCAAATAAATCTGCTTTGTCTATAAAATCGAGCCTCCCAAGTTATCACATTGTTACCGACCGTTTGCTCCAAGCAGAGGAGTGTTCCTGCGTTCAGAGCACGTAAGGACTGGGCAGGGGGATGGCCTGGCATACAGTTAACAAGGAAGGTCAGTATAACCAAGGTAAGCAGCCTCGAGGTGCAAGCTGGGTCACCTAGATTTGCATTTCCTAATAGCTTCTGTAAAACTGCATATCTTAGTACTTGCTGTAACAGGCATGGCCCCTGTCACTGCAGGGATGCTGCAAATCTGAGATGAATTTTTTTCATGACTTCCCTGTGTCTGCAGTGTCAAATACAGACATTTTGTGGGGCAGAGCCTCTCCTGAAACTTTTGCAGCAAGGAACACAGTATGAGAACTTCTATGAAACTTTTATGTTACTTTTCTCTTGAGGTAGGTGGGGCTGGAGCATCTGATAGTCCTAGGTTTAAGTACTAAAAACATTCTTCTGGTACTAGCACTTGGCAGAACATGTGCCTTTTCGGACATAGTTAATAGGATCATGGTTCCTGGTGTTACACTGCCCCGAAGCAAACCCATCTCTGTGGGGAAGCTGTTACTGCTCTGCTTTTCCTAATCCTGCTCTACTCAGCCAAGACTGCACCGCAGAGAGATAGTGTGTGTATGTGTGTGTTTGCACCAGGTATTGGGGAGACCTCTGCTATTCAGAATCAGTAAATGAGTTGACAGGAAGATGAATGACAAGGTGACAAAGGTTGTGGGGTAATAAAAATAAAAGCTGACTGTGAAGTTACACTGAGTGATGCTATTGTGACCAGCCTGACAATAAAAGGGCATCTGAAATTCTGTGCATCCAGTGAAAAACAAAACTACATAATTGTTGCCTCCAAACTAGTACTGCTGTTGAGGTGAGAGGGCTTGGAGTCACTGAGGAGTTGTGTGAAAGCAGCGAACAGCATAGAAGAGTTGAAAAACAGGAGCCCTTCCACAGCATCCTGTGGCACAATAATACTTGTCAGGACTATGGCTTTCCGTACTTCCTAATTGCACGGGGGGTTGAGGACACTCAGAAGGTTAAAAAAAATAATTATATAGTATGGAATTGGGATAATCTAAAATTGTTCCTTTAGCTTTCATGTGCAGTCATGTGATGCTTTCTGATGGATATGCAAATCCAGCACAGTTAAAAAGTCTGGGAAATAAAAATCTCAAGACTAAACTCACCAGCAACTGTATCATTTTACTTAGCATTACTCTAACTTTGTGAATAATGAGCTAATGGAAGGCTGGATTCCTAATCTGATGTCTCTCTTTAAACTCTCCTACAGTAGTATTAAACAATTTTTGTGGATCCTACTCTACCCTTTCTCAGCATCTCTATGTCCTTCTTTTTAACAGATGTGCCATGAGGTCTTGCAAAACAACTTGGGTTTTACAATTACTTAAATGAATTACTTAAATGAATTACTTAAATGAATTACTTAAATGAATTACTTAAATGCATAATACTGCAATAGACAAAATACTCCTAAAATTATATAGAGCATAAGTAGCAGGAAAAAACTCGCTTCAGATTAAGCATGCCTTTTAGAAGTTTTGTAAGAAGATATGGTTTTTAATGTTCACAAACAATGTGTCTTACAAATCATGCATTTTTTGTACTGAAAAAATCCACAATGATTATGTGCAGTGAGTTCCTTTCAAGAGTAAACAAAACAATGCTATTTGTTTGCCCAATTTTTATTCTTTTATAAATCATAATTTAAACTCCACAACACTTTTCAATTCATTGAGCATTGATTCCAAACAGTGCAGTTGGCTGGCAGCTAGTATGCTGTTTTCCTTAAGCACCAAAGTAACAGCAGGGACAAGTGATGCTTGTTGATCGGAGACACAAGAGTGTATTTCTAGAAGAATTACTCTAAAATGTACAGAAATTTTAGTTGGAAAAAGGCATAATGCTGACAATGTCTTAACTGATTTTAAATGCCTTTGGAGGGAAGATCTCACAAGTTTAAGTAGTGTTCAAAGAGCAAAACAAAAATGTAAACTTAGCAGAGACTTGAAACTTTGTGCTACGTGATCTTTCCAAATGACAGTTTAAATTACGCTGAATGAAGCATTAGTAATGCTGACAAGGCTGTGCAATTGGTTATTGTGCATATCTGTTACATGAAGGCTTAGCCTTGGAAAACTAGTGAGGATTTCTCTTCTTTAGGGAAATAAACATGCATGAAGTAGAGTTTAAAAAGTTTAATGAACTGATAAAGCAAAATCAAACACTGTCAACTTTTATACTAAATTGAAATAATATATTAAATATAAAGCAAGTATAAATGTGTAAGAAAAATGGGAAACATACTATTGCATATTTATAAAAAAGTATCAGAAGCCAACCTGTTTGTCTTGCAAGAAATTATATTTAGAAGGCTAAAATCATTTATATATATATATATCAAATAAATCTATGAATATAACAATAGATAGGAACAGTATATAAATATGGCATCTTTAAATATTTACATATATACGGAAACTAGTCAAAGTGGTGCTATAAGAAGAAAACATCTGTTATAAAAGTGAGATTACAAATTTTGCATACATCCATCTGCATTACACTATTAATTTTCCACTTGCATCTTCCATAAACTAATTAACAACTTTAAAATTATCATTGCATAGACTTGAAAAATATTACCTAATTCTGCATTCCACCTCACAGTAAAAACTATCAGGATAATGATACAAAAATAGTAAAGAACAGTAGCCAGCTGTACTGCCCTTCAAAGTTTAGTCCCTGACTTCTTGCTCTTAGGAACAAGAAAGACATTACCATCTGTAGTTTGCTGCAGTGAATATTCACTAGGAGAGTAAGGCTTTCCGTCCTCATCACGTAGCATGCTGAAGACCTCGAGGTATAAGGTGGTTAGTTGCTTTTTTATTTGGCGGAGGCTCCTGTCATGCTCTCCTTTTTCCTTAAGCAATTTCTCTTTCTCATCTTTTAGGTGAGTCAAGTCTTGTGTCAGTTCCACTATATTTTCCAGTTTTCTTTTACGGCAATTTTGAGCAGCCACTTTGTTCTTGCCTCTCCTCCGTATATCTCGAATAAGTGTGAGCTGGGCTTCATTGAACTGCTCCTTAGACATCATTTCATTGAAGTCCTCAACAGGGAGATTGATAATTTTTTCAACAGGAAAAGGGATCTGCAGAGCTTTTGCTCTTTGCTCATCTCTTGTGAGATGAGCTTCAAGGCGGCTTGAAGGTTTATCCTTTGTGAATGGAGCTTCGGGGTAGCCGGGAGCAGCAGGGGGTTCTTTCTTTGGTGTCTTTGTACATGGCAAACTTGGTGTTTGAGTGTTTGGCCCCATGGAAGAAAACACTTGATCCTGGAATTGCATAGAGTGCACACTAGTATTGCTCTGCAGCACACTTCCAGGAGCACTATCCATGTCTTCCATTTCAGAATCACTACAACCCAAAGTCTTATCTCCATAGGCAGATGATTCCACAGAGTGTTCAGGCGATGCTATACTAGAACTTGCATTCAGTGAAATACCAGAGTCAGAGTCATTACATTCTGGTCCGGTCCCTGAGAGGTTGCCATTAAAAGCTTTACACAGTGAGAAGTAAGAAAGATCAATAGGTTCACTCAGAACCTCCGCAAGGGATTGACTGATAGTGTTTGTCGTTGCTGTGTCACCATTCGCCTTTGTATCGATAAAGGTGGTGTAGAAATCCTCACAGAAATCAGAGTTGGAAGGGGACGTGTCATTTAAAGAGTTCACACTCAGCTGGCTGGTGTCTTCTGGTGGCAAAATGCTGGAAAAGGGACCCTCAATACTATCCAGGAAATCAGGACCGCAGTTAACATCCTTTTTCATCACACGTAATGAGCTGCAGTAATGACAGCTGTTGTGTGTCTCTGCTGGCTTGGTTGCAGGGCTGGTGATTGTGCTCACCTCAGCCAGGTTATCATTTTCAATGTTAAGACACTAGATGGGAAATGCAAGGGAGAAGTTGAGAAACACATCTCCAATTGATAAACTCGTTTTCTATAACCTCCAAACATTAAATATTTTAGCAATCAGCACGCACATAAAAGGGGTATTACAACACTGCTGTAATCCAGATGACTACAGCACACTTGTACTATGGAGAGGCAATCTAGGAAGATGACAGATATAAAAACATGAGCACAAAGCAACTTGTTCTGGACAAAGCTATTTAGATAAAGAGAGCAGAACATCTCAAACTCAGAGCAAGTTGCTGAAGAGACCCATTGCAACGCTTTAGGAAAGATGCATGGAGACCTCCTGTTCTGGTAATTGCTAGTGTGGATCCTGGAGCTGCCAGGTCTGAACTTCTCACAAGCACCACTGCTAGGAACGGCACGAGTACAGTAAATGTGAAATTCCTGAATGAGACTCAATGAGCATTACTAGCAAGCAATTACTTTTAGGACTCTTAGTTTCATGCTATGTTTCCTCAAAACCAAGATTCTTTTAGGATTTACTGAATGAAGCAGCTGTTCAGCACAGAGAAATGTAATTCTTGGTGAACTAAGAGTACTTAACATGAAACCTGGCAAACAACTTGCCTCATACTTTTAGTTAAGCTGGCTAACACCAGTATGAGCATCAGACTGTTGCACTGATGGGCTTTCACTGGCTACAAGATCAATGTTCTTTCCAACAGGGTGGAAGTTTCTTAACTGAAGCTGAAAGAAGCAGGCCTGCTGTCCCCAAGGAATTAGGCAATTATCAAAATGATTCTGTTTCTCTTAATAACAGGACCCACACACTGATTATTTAACCAGAGGTTGTTCAAGGCTTAAGCTAAGGTTTTCAATGTGAGAGCTCTGTTTTTCCATTTCTCTAAACTTAATTTCTAAAAGACAATGCCCTCAGTTTAATTATCTCACCTTTTTTAACCCAGAAAATTATTCAATTACTAATCAGAATTACTCCAAGATTCTTTTGTTTTGGTTTCTTAATGTTTTTTCACCATCACTGCTCCCTCTTCACAGCCAATTGCCTTTGCCACTTACGTGGGGCTTTTAAGCCTACCACAGTAATAAGGTTAGGAAACTAGAAAAAAAATTGAAAAATATAAAACAATGAAGGAAAAAGGCAGAGTGGCAGAAAAAACACAATTCCTACAAATTTTCACTTTATTTTTTTGAAATATGATTTGGATTTACGGGCATTCCACCTAGCAATCATCTCTTGTATTGATAGCATAAAGTAGAGCAGCATAGTGCTGGAGCATGGTGACATTCTACAGTAACATATTTGAAAATAAATTTATTCTCGTTTATAGTCAAATCTAAAGAAAATATAAATAAAAATATAAGGATAGGATTAAAAAAACCCGACATATCCTCTGTATTAGCAAAGTAACTTTTTTGTTCCTTTGGAATATTGAATTTTGTACATTATATAAGTAGTTCTTACTGAACACATATAAGCAGCATTTATATAAAATATACCTGACTCCTCTATGCACCTAAATACATGTTCTATTATCAGCTTTAAAAAACCTCTTCCTTAGATGAAAATTGAATGCAAAAGAAACTATAAATGATTCATACAATGACACCGCAAAAAAAAAAATTTACAGTGCTTGTGAAAACAATTCCTGTTGTAGATCCATAATTCAGAAGTGTCCATTTTTAAGCAGCTGAAATTTTAACGATGTAATAACGCTGCAATAAGTTGCATATAGAGGCAAACAATGACTTGCTAAACATGAGGAAGTTCTGTTTGAGAAGTTAGAGTGTGTTTTATTAAGGGCTATCCATAAACAACTCATTTCCTTCTTTCTACAGGTTTTTCAAGATATTTTTGAAAAAGTTAAAGCTTATATTGAGTTACAGGCACCCTATAGGTGTAGAATCCAACACAACAGTCATAGTCACCATCTGTTCAGACACTATTGTACTGCCTTCTCCAAAATACCACAGTCTTCCAAAATACCATGCTTCATTTTTCAGGTGGTTATCACACTAACCTGTAACTCTGGAAGGGACAATAATTCTTCCCAGACTTGCTCTATGTTCTGCATATTCTCTGCATCAGTGGGTGGAACTAGATCAGGTGATTCAGGTGGCTGAGTCTGATCAGAGGAAACGAAGGCTGTGTTGCTATCAATCTGAGCAGGAACCAATGACTGAAATGCAGCTGAAGAAACCTGAAATAAAATAAAATAAAATAAAAATTAAAAAGCCAAAACAAAGCAACAATAACAAAAAACCCCACCACACAAAAACCCCACTCAAAAAACCAGATTTGCATTTCCAAAGCAAAAATCTGGTTTTTAGAGTTTTAACGTTTCTGCAGAACAGACAGGTATTTCCTAAGAAAAGCATTTTTGTAAACAATGGGATAATATCAAAATATTCCCATGAAAGGTGTTTTCATATTAAGGAAAGAAATGGGGAGGGGGAAAAATCTAGAAACTGCCTGGTGAAGGGCCTATCCTTGCACATCAAATAGTCTGGGTCAGCAGATGGAAATAAATCAACTTGAAGGCACTAATCCAGAGAGCTGTGCTGAGCTCACTGTCAGAAACTGAGCAGCCCATGATCACTGTGTGCAGAACTTGGTGTGGCTGCACCAGCTGCCCTGACAGACCGAGCCCTGGCTGCAGCACTCGGAAGCGGGAGGAACACAGGAGTACCAACCACTCCACTCCCTCCAAACACAGCACTAGTTCAAGCCTACCACACTGCTTTATTCCAGCTGGAGCCAGCTTGAGGAGAAAACTTCAATCAGACCACAAATTAGTATTATGCTGAAGACGAATCTCACTCAGAAAAGACATGAGACTGACCCTGTAGAAGACCACCCATGAAATTGCTGTATTGATAATTTTTACCTCATTCTCATCTATAAATGGGAATGCTTCTGCCAAGAGCTGCATGCAGTCATCAAAGGACAAGGCCTCTGCTTCTGGTTTTGAAGGCTCTGTGGTCTAAATAGGAAAGTTATGAAAAAAGGTCACTGCATCTTTGAATAACTGAAGAATCTTCCATTACAGTAACACATGCAAATTAATTTTAGGCAGCCACTAGCATTATGCCTTTCTGTGAATGGAAAAAGGGTTGAACACACTCACAAACACATACTGGAGTTTACCTGTGAAAAAACAACTGGCGGCTCAGTATTTTCTGACTGAATGCACTGAGCTGGCTGCACAGGAACAAATTCACCTGTCTCTTCGTCTAATTCCAGCTGAGCCAGCAAGGCTTTCTCCTGCTCTTTTTGCAGCTGTTCTTGTCTTTCCTTTTCAAGTTTCTTCTGTTTTTCGAGCTCATACTCCTTCTGTCGTTGACTAAAATCAAAAACTTCACGTCTTGCCCCAAGGTCTATATCTTGCCTCCAAAGGATGTCAATCAAGTTCATGTCCTGTAACAGAAATGCTTTTTTTAAGCAAGTGTCCTCCCCATCAGAACTGGTTTAGAACAATAGCAAAGCTTCTAACCTCTGTGTCAAATGGATGGACTCATGTAATTTAGTCCTATTCTCTTAATCCTACAAAATTATTGAAATAAAATATGGCTCTATATGACCTTCCTGAAGTGTGGGAACTGATGGTTTGATTTCTGTGGCCCACACACAGGCTCATGGAAACCAAGAATTTATTACATTTGGTAAGGTATTACACGAACTAGCTAGAGGATAAATATATTATTCTTTTTTAACTTGTAGAAAACATTAAGCTATAGAATGAATTGTGTCACATTAAGAAAGTCATTTTAGGGGAAAGAAGAGAAATTGAAAAGTTTGACCATGTAAATTTTTTTTCATGTGATCTTGTAAAACTGTAAAAGCTGACTAAAAACATGATGGCAGCTTTCTGAAGTAACTAAAATAGCCATACTGCAAAATGTATTTTAAAATATTTATGTTCCATCCTGGTATTAACCTTAAAGATCAGCAGAACAGAGCTTCAGAGTTGGAGGATAACGTGGTTTCAAAGACACCAAGTGATGTAACATCACTGTAGCACTAAACACAATTATTAAGACTATTATTGAAAAATTGTAATTTAAATCTTCGATGTTCTAGATGTGGTTGGAGTAGCTGAATATAAACAGTGCTCAAAGGGTTTCAAATACAGTTAATCAGCTGGCCTCTGCTTCATTACAGAGTCCATCATTATCAGACAGCTAACAATGACCTTAATTTCTTGGAAATCAGCTACCCCTTGCACTTGTAGTGTTTCAGAAGACAAATTCAGTTGCTATTTATGAAAAAGCAATAGGTTAATACTACTTGCTTTGGCTACAATTACTTTTAATTTATTGCATCAGGGGTTTTTTTGGAGGCTGAGGGACAAGAGGGTTAGTGGATTGTTTTGGTTTTTTACTGTTCAAATATTCAATATTTTTACAGGCTAAAGTTGAGACTATTTTCTTTATAACACTCAAAACTTATCAATATGTATGTCTGTTGATACAGAATTTTAATACTTGGTAGCCACATTTCTCAGATGGTAAGTGCCAAGCATTTATCTGGTGCCTGGAAGTCTGGATTTTACGTCATGTTTCATTATGCTGAAAATTACCCTTTGGGGCAGCACATAAAAATAATGTTCAGTGTTGGGCATCCTCACCATACTAACACACTACAAATAATATACCAAACAGTGCATTTCATTTAAACAGAACCTTTCTGGTTCACTTAGCAGCTCTACACCCAAGATACAATTTTTTTGCCATCATTTCAAATTAAAACATTCCCTTATCTCTAAAGGTTATTTTCAAATAAAGAAGCAAAATAACCTGAATGCCAACTCATGCTGCCATTCAAAACAATCACTTATATACAACAGTTATGGCAAAAAGCTTTAGGGAAAGTCCACATTTGAACAAACCAATTCAGTTCTCTCATTTCTTTATTAAAAATTCTGTACCATTAGCACTCATATTTACATATGGCAGGAATGACTTATACTATTAACTAAAAAAATCAATTTTTAATAAAATTGGGTAGTTACATAAAATATATGGGTGTAACACAATGCAGGCAGTCCCAAATCTAAAAAAAAAACCAAACAAACATTTAATATACCTTACTGGGAGAGACCAAACTCAGCTTTAATGGCTAGCAATGAAGAAGCTGAAATAATTTCAGTGGCTGCCCAAGACAATGTTTGGTCTTTCCAGATTGGCAGAGTAAAATGAACTAATTAAGTTCTGCAGTAATTGGAGATATTGCAATATGGTACAGCTTCATTAAGGGCCAGTAGTTTACCAGCTGCTCACTGTCTCCTGCAGCAGCAGATCCAAAACTGTTTCCTAGTCTCTGAGCATTTGCAATATGTTCTGGATAAAACTGCAGGATCTGGATTTTAGGGCTCACTTCTGAATTATTCATTTACAAAGCAACTTTAAAAATGTGAATCAAAATATGTGTTTATATAATGCACAAAGCTGTGAATTAAGAGAGCTGTTTTCCTCCATGAGTTGTAACAGACTGCAGCACAAAAATATCAGAATTGGTGCTCAATTTCAGTTTAAATCATGTAAAACAAAAGTGAACAGAAAAAAAGAGCTACAGAAGGCAAAACACATTTTCCTTAGGAAGAAAATTCACATAGCCTTAGTGCAAAAGCTTATGACCCAGCTATTACTTCTTTCAGCCATTTTACTGGCAATATTCATTATCAAAGTTAAGTAGCTTTGGGTGCTGCCTCAGCTGTGGGATGAGATCTCTCCAAAGACACCAGCTGACCAAAGAAATTGCTGTGGCTGTTCAGCACTGCCTCTGTGTGTGCGTAGCAGTCAATTCAGCAAGCAGGATTCTTTTTTGAATGAATATGTTTCCATACTTATCAGGATTGTCAGGATCTTGAGCTGTTGTTTGACAACTGTGACAGCATTGACTGGCTCCTGTCACTATTTTTCAAGGGACCATATTTAGGCCAATGTCTTAACTCTGGCAAAAGGCTGAGCTTTGCCAAACAGCTACCCTGGAGAGCGATGCTTCTTCGGAGCATCTTTATTTATTCTATTTAGTTGTTGTATTTGTGGCACTAAAAACCAAAAGCATGGGTTGCTTTGTTGTCTGTTGTTTTTTTTTATTATCACCATGTAATTGGAAAGGAGCTCTCCTATTTTCAATTTGAAAAGTTCTACATAAATACAGCAATATTAGCCTTAACTTTGAATAACAATTCAAGTAATTACATCTCAGCCTTAAATAGGCTACATGGAGGAAGTGTTCTTCTGGTCAGTATGCTGATACATAGTATCAAACAGCACACTGATTTAAATATTAACCTGCCATTTAACACTTATCTATAATTTCAGCCAATGTTTTTAGTAATACTGCCCTTTTTAAGAAAAAAAATATTCTAGGCATTAGTCCAAAGCCTCAGGTCAAAGTTAACGGAGCCAACATTGACCAGTGATTCATTAAGGAGTGAGTCACAACCACCAGCATAAGGTAATGGCAAAGAACTCTTAAAAAAACTTTCAGTCTAAAGCAAACATTTTGCAATACTGTTCCTTCAGCCTCCCCTCAACCTTCCTCTTTAAATTATTTCTCTGCACTGTTGAACAGCATCACACACATACACACAGGTATCCACACAGGCAGGCACTCTATCACTGAAGGATTTTTCCCCTTCTACTGGGAAAGCATCCCAAAAGTAACTGTGTATTTGATGTCTGGAGTCCACGTGCACAGAGAGTCCTGTGAAAGACTCATCTGACCCAGGGCTTGTTGCTGCCCTTCAGAGCCACGCTAACCACTTCCCTTAATATCACACATTTACTGCAAAGGCACCGGCCTCATGTGACAGACTCCACAAGCGCCCACTTGTTCTTTCCTCCGTTGTGCAACTCCGTGAATTGCATCAGAGGAAACGATGGCTTTGGCAGAGCCAAGAGGCCGCAGGACGAGCCAGGCCTCCCCTGGAGGAGGAAGGGCCTGCGTCCAGGAGGGATTGCAGCCACAATGCTTCCCCCTCGCCTCTAGAGCTGAACACCAACACCTACACTGAGGGGAAATACATTACAGTATTCAACACGGGTATTACTGTTGTCCAACATTTTTAACCTCTGGGAAAATAATATGGATTTAATACTTTCCCCAAGCAGACAGTAATTTAATTTTGGTTATATTTTCTTCATAACTTTGTAGGCAGAAAAAGAACTTTTCAACAGACGACATGCTTTGCTTTCCCATGATCCATGTAAGCAGGAGGTGCCTTGTACTGATGGTTTGATTTTTCTGTTCATTTAGTGATATGCTCTTCCAATCACATTGATAGCTTAGTTTGGACATATAAAGGCACTTTTAATAAGATAAACATAAATGTTAAACAATTCACATTAAGCCACCATCTGGCCCCCAATGGAAATTTTCATGTTTTGGATTTACATATCAGCATTTGCCATCTGGGCAAAGTCTGTTATACATTTTATGAGAAAATCTCTGACTACATTGTAAAGTTTGACAATTAACTCTTATTGCTCCTAAGCAAACATTTGCAGAAGGGTAAACAAGGGAAAGCGACCCTGTTTTCATGTTACTTTCATAGACTGACTTTTGTGCTTTAAACAAAATGTTAATCTTTTGTTTTATTCCTGTCTCATATATCTAACTGGTTTTGGTTTTTGCTATCCATTTACAGGTAGCACTGGTAAAATGGAAACGATCCGGCAGCCCAAGTGTAAGCAGAGAAACAATCTGTTATCTCAGACAGCACCTTCAACCCATTACTAGCTATCCCCTTGATACAGAGCACATTGTGGGGTTTGTGCATTCACTTAAAGTCCTGCCTTTTGCAACATAAACTGGGATAACACTAGCAGAACCGCTCACTAGACAAGGATTTATTTTCCTCTCCCGTGATCTGTTAGCATCTAACCCCAAAGAGACAGATGATTTCACATGCCAGCATGAGTCAGTGAAAGAGGAACAGAAACAATGGCTATTGCATCCAGCAAGGAGCTCAGACCAACATCCCATGAGGAGCAGGAAAGCACTCCCATACCTTGCTCACAGAAACAGATATGGCAAAGTATCCTTCAATTCTTATTTCTTTTCCAGAAAGCAAATGAATGAACGAAAAGCACCTTACATTTTTGCTTTATTCAAAAAAAAGTGTAGGAAGTGAGGATCAAGGACCTGAGATACTCCAAGGCAAGAATGAAAAGGAGGCCATAAAGTAATAAAGCAAGTGCAAGAGGAGCTGGACACATCTCACCACTTAAGAAAAGCACAGTGGGAGCAACAGCTGAATGTCTTTCCCACATTATTCGCTGGAGGAACCGATCTTGTTCAAGTAGTTTTTAAAAATTATTTAAAAATCATGTAATGTTTTCAGATGATCTCTGTCATCACCATAACTAGTGGTTGGTTTTCTAAATCTTTTTCAAGGTAAGTTACTTATTTACAGCTTATAATTACAGAAAAAAATCCTGGACACATAAGCCTCATGCTTGAGAGAAAGCATAGAAAGCAGATGAAGTTAGCCCAACATCAAAACTTTTTAAAAACAATTGAGAAGAATGGAGAAAAGGGAATGGCAGAAGTTATCTGCACTGCAAGGCAGAGAGTTACCATAGCAAATTTAGATGCCTGAATTTAGGGTTTGGAATCATGACAGAACAGACAGCTGTCAAACAAAGCCATGTGACAGCAACCTGTGATTTGTGAATATACAAGGTCAAATCCCCGACTGCCCTGCGGAGCTGTCTGCTGTCCCACATTCTTCACCAAGACCTTCCAGGCAATCAGGGAGCAAACACAGTGCTTTTGAGTTTAACGGGTGTCTTTTTTCTGTCTTTCATACCTGTGCCTGGTATGGTGTGACTGGACTCACACTAAACCAGTATGTTTTAACACTACACCAGCCTGCTTCTGCTCCTTGATGCCTATTTGCCCTTCCTGGCCCTAAAGTCTTTGGATGCCTGCATCAGGAAACATTTTTTAAGCCCTGGCAGGCTAAACCTAAGAAAGGACTCTTAGAGTTGAAAAGCCCTAGCTTTAAAGAACTGATGTTGCAAGACAATTTTCACTCCATGTCTACATAAATAAGACTGTTAAAATATGCTGTCCATGCTGACCATGTGTCTTTGGACATTCTGCTGCCTCCAGAGAGACAGATAAGATCAGTTCCTGAAATGTTAAGTGTGTGTAGGCCAATTTCTATTTTCTCCTGACATACATCTCATATTTCAGACTGTACCTCCCACTGTATTCCAGCATGCTCTCCTAATAAATGCCAAATTGCCAGGATCTACTCTTATAAATTAGATTAGTGGAAAAATTCCTTGGCTGGATTGTCCAGCATTCTTAAGAAAGCTTCACTACAAGCCTTGTCTGGGCATTACTCTGACAAAAATGGGGAGAGGCTCTGCCTGGCAATTCTGGATACTACTCACCCACTCTCCCAACCCTCACATCAGAAACATCTCCTCTGAGCAGTGGATGACTTATGGATTTCACCTGAAGCAGCACCTTCCAGGAATGGTTTCAACAAAGGCTATGTCTGTAAGGTCTGTAAAGCTCTCAACATGAAGGTTTTCTTAAATACACCCCATGGCAAGCAAACTTTCCAAACTGCCAGGGAAAGCATATACCTTGTATATTTCTCCAATAATAGTGAAAAGACAAGTTTCTTTAAGCCTGAAGAACATAAAATGAGCAAGAATGTAACTGCAATAAAAAATAGCTGTTGTAGGCTGTTTATGGTCATTAATGTACTAACTTTATTTCAATTCTAAAAACTGCAAAATCCTAATGCTAACAGTAAGCGAGACCATAGCAGGTAGAGAAAAACACCTTCATCAGAAAGACAGCAAAGAAAAGAAAAAGGAACGACATAAAGCAGTTTACTTTTTCACTTTGGTAAGTTTTCTCTTTTTTCTGCAAAATCAATCAATCCCTACTTCCCTGCTACTCCTTAAAACACGGACTGTGTGCAAGAGCCTCACAGCACTCCCTTCCAGCCTGGGGCACAGCAGCAGGAGAGACATTCTCCTCTCTGGCTCATTAATCTCTGGAGTCAGAAATACATATATATATCCTTTTCCCACCACATCTGGTTTGCCTTGAGGTGACCATTTATGGTACAACCGATCAGGGGATTCTTTCTCAGTGCTGCAGATCTTTTTGCAGAAGACAGAACATGAAACAATCTCAGATACTCCAGAAGTATCTGTGCTTTCTAAATTGTTTAATCAATACATAGTGTAGATGGTAGCTTTAAAATAGTAATACAGTTTAATACAGAGGGGCTGAATGGGCCCAGGACTCAACAGATTTAAAAAAAAAAAAAAAAGAAATCACCCCCCC